GGTGGTGAGGTAACTGGGTGGTATTTCAGAAGTCAGCATCATCAGCCTTCTGTTTCCAACCAGTCTGGGGTCTGTGTGCTAATGTCTTCCTCCTGGTAGGGGTTTCAGTACCTGCAAAACAACTCAGAGATATGGCTCAGGATGTTACCTGTAGCCCTTGAGGAGGAACTAAAGATCCTTGACTTCGTTTTATGCCTAAACTTTGTCTTGCTTGATTTCTTTCCTTTTTTCCTCATTTTCTCACTTCTCTCATTAAATTTGCTCTTTGGAACTCATGGAAGGCCTAGAAGGCTATAGCTTTTCTACAAACAAGAGACGGGGACATAGTGGGGGAGCGTCTATCCCTGGGAAGGCCCTGAAAGGTACTGCTTGGTTTCAAGGGTTTCACATATGTTAACTCATTTAGCTCTCAAAACAACCCTAAGAGGCAGATACTATTATAATTGTCCCCATTTTATAGATGGAGAAACAGAGGCACAGAGAGGTTAAGGAATCTCTCCAGAGTTACACAGCTAGGAAGTGGCAGGAAGGCTTGAATCCAAGCAGTTTGACTCCAGAGTTTATGTTCTTAAATTCTACTTTATACTGCTTTTCTTGATTATGAAAACAAAGACAAAGCAAACTGGAAAATGTTCAGTGAGTATAGCCTCAGTGGGTAGTAGCCCTTTTGGCATGATTTGACATCTTAGCTACCAACCCTTATCCCAAACCTTGGTGCATGGTAAAATAATTTGGAGATCACTCCTTTAAAAAAGTTCTGATTTTTTAATTTCGAGACACATGTCCAGGAGGAGTCCATTAGAAAGTAGTGTGAAATAGGGTGTCAGAGGCCCATTGGGGAACCTCCTGAGATTTCAGTGAGTTGGGAGGCATTGGTTAGCAGTTGCCACAGCTCTGAGCACTCAGGACAGCTCTCCTCTGCTAAGAGCTTAGGCTCCTAGGGAGGCTGAGGGTCTCTGGCTTGGCTCTCAGTGGAGAGTTGTCATCCTGTCCTGTCTACCCCCTCTCTGGGTGGACCTCAGACTTTTCATCTGTAAAACAAGGGAGATCAGCTAGTTGGTCTCCATGAGCTTTTCAAAGGTTAAAAATATTCAGATTCTAGATTTAATGAAATGGAGAAAATATCCATGCCATATTAATTTGTAGGGGGGAAATCCTTTACAAAGCATTATGTTTGATTTTTGCTAAAAAAAAACATGTAACAGAATGAAGGTATTTGTGCTTTTCACTCCTTTGTCTTTCCCCCTCCCTCCCCCTCTGCTACTGGGGAGAAGGTCTTTTGGCAAAAATTTCACTACGATTCTCTGTCAGGCAGGAGCTCTATTCCAAACAGCAGAAGCACTGCCATCCTTCTCCTGGAATGGAGCCAGGGATGCCCCCAGAAGGCATGAGCTCAATGGGCAAAGGGTTCTCAGCAGCTTCAGCCAAAAAGGGTTGAGCTGGGACCCTGAGGGAGGGAGAAGGTAGGAAAGGATGGGAAACCATTCAAGGTAGATCCTGCGTGAACTACAATGCAACACCATGAGAACAGGAAAGGAGTATTTAGAAGCACCCTCCGCGCTTCTTTGTACTTATAATCTTCACGGAGTGAGGCAGAGTTCTGCTACTGACCTGGGTCCCTCCAGATCTCACAGGACATGACAACACAGTTCCATAACCATTGAAAAAGGTGGCTGCCGCATGAACACTGTCTGTCTCTGCCTGGTTGGATTCTTCTGGGTGACCTTTCTTTTCCTTCATTGTGCTTTTCTATACTTCCTAATCTTGCTACACTAGACATGTATTTCTTATACAACAAAAATTGTGTTAAAACATATAAAGGGGCTTCCCTGGTGGCGCAGTGGTTGAGAATCTGCCTGCCAATGCAGGGGACACGGGTTTGTGCCCCAGTCCAGGAAGATCCCACATGCCGCAGAGCGGCTGGACCTGTGAGCCATGGCCGCTGAGCCTGCGCATCCGAAGCCTGTGCTCCGCAACGGGAGAGACCACAACAGTGAGAGGCCTGTGTACCGCAAAAAAAAAAAAAAAAAAAAAAAAAAAAACATATTAAGATCTTACAGAATGTCTCTAATAGCCTAATATTATATTTTGGGAATAGACAAGTCCCTCAAGATTGGTCCGTAGAGGAGGATTTGGCTCCCAGCGACTCTGAAATGGCTGGAATCCTTTATTGTGGCAAGGAAGGCTGCTTCTCAAAAGGTGCAGACATTGAAAGGGCTGTTGTGTTCTCTAGAAATTTTCTGAATTGTGGGTCCCTTTTTTCTGGCCAGAATATACTCCCTCAGATAGTGATACCACACAAACTGTGGTGAAATGCTGCTCGGAATTTCTACCCATGAGCTGGGGAAAGGTAGCTGCTGGCATGAATATCGTGACCTTCCCAACTTATTTAGGGCTCTGTGAACCTGAATTAATATGCCAACAGATATGACCATTCCTGTTAATGGGCTCTCAGGAAATAGGGTGTACTCTGGAGGTTCCAGATTTCTAGATGGCTGAGGTTTATTCAGATTATTTTCATTGTCTGAACCCGTATTTTAGAAAATCAGTCTAAAGCATATCTGCCTGCTTTTTAGCCTTATTGAGCTCTGAGTGGTGAACTCAACGGATTACTTCTTCCATAATTTTCCTACAAGCTACAGGACCACTATGTTAAAGGTCTCTTTCTCTCTCTGGTTTTTTTTTTTCTTTCTTTCTTTTTTTTTTTTTTTTTTTTTTTTTGGTTCGCGGGCCTCTCACTGCTGTGGCCTCTCCCGTTGCGGAGCACAGGCTCCGGACGCGCAGGCTCAGCGGCCATGGCTCACGGGCCTAGCCGCTCCGCGGCATGTGGGATCTTCCCGGACCGGGGCACGAACCCGCGTCCCCTGCATCAGCAGGCGGACTCTCAACCACTGCGCCACCAGGGAAGCCCTCTGTTTTTGTTTTTGTTTTTGTTTTTTGGTGTGTTTTGGAGCTAAGGGAAACAGTGATTGGGTAAAAGTGCACAGGTCCCAGGGAAAACACCTAGTGGTTGTTTTTAGAATGAATTTGAGAATTCATTTGAGAATTTGAATTCTCAATTCAGAATTTGAAAATTCTGAATGAGTTTGAGAATTCATTCTATACTTTCTAATTTCAAAATATTTTGAAATTTCTAATTTCAGAATTTCAAAATTCATTCAGAATTTTCCCCCCAAAAGTATTGGTTTAATTTGGTTTGTGTTAACATTGACAGGTGAGCATCAAGTGTTACCTTTTTTTTTTTTAATTTCAAGTGACCAACTGAATGAACTGAGTTAATCAAAAGCAATCAGACTACCAGAGATGATTACTTTCGAGGCAGGTTTCAAGCAGCAGCTGCAGTAGCTAACACCACGTGTTCACTGAGCACTTATTCCCAGGGGCTGTTCTCAGTGATGTGAGGCATCAAAGACACATAAGACAGAGCTTCTCTCACCATGAGAAGGAGAGGCTGCACTAACGTGGGGAGCACATCAGACTGGTGTGGGTGGCCTGGAGTCTGTCTCCCGCCGAGTGCTGCTGGAAGGAAGCCATTCGAATCTCTAGACATCAGTTTCCTCAGGAGAAAATGAGGCATTCAACTCAATTTCAAAAGGACCTTCAGCTTCTGAGATTCCAGAGCCGATGGTTTTTTGGAGGAGGAAGGCCTGTGCGTGGGCACCGGGAACTGTGTCATGTGATGAGTGAGTCAGACTCAGGGCGTCAGAAAAATAACGTCTTCACAATCAACACAAGGGCATAGGCAATTAGGAAACGCACTTAGCTGACGGCTTGAGTGTCTGTTCCATTCGGAAGATATATTCCTGAAGAGGGACAGGGTGACTCATAAGAAGGCTGTAACTTGATGAAGTACAGCTATCCAATTTCCTTGCTCTGATTCCAGGCAACTGAATGATCTTAATTTGGTTTCCCAAGGCAGTTTCCCCAGGCAAGAGAAGGGACAGGCTGTGGCAACTGGAAACTGACATTCTTTTGTGTGAGCAAAATTAGATCACATATGAGAAATGACTGAAATTATAAGAAGCAGCATTCAAATGCAAAGCGTCCTTAGTAATATCATCACCAGTTATGAATCATTTTCATGCTGATTTGGTTAGCCTTTGAACCTTTTTTTTTTTTTAAAGAGCTAGTAAACACTGGGTGACTTGGTAAATACAGAAATTCTGTATCTGCAAAGCTGATCAGCGGTGAAAATTACTAACATTTACATAGTGCTTTACAATTTACAAAGTGCTTCTCTATACAGTAACCCAGTAGCTCTGGGAGACAGGGAATATTATTTTCCCAGTTTCTAGCTCAGGAAAGCTCTGTATTATGAGGGAGGATTTGGGCTGGCAGTCAAACCTAGGTCCTGCACTGCTAATCCAAATCATAGTGCCGCTGCTTCTGAAGCAAGTGAATGCTCTTCTGCCCCCCATCCACCTGCATACACACACACACACACACACACACACCCCTTCCTATACAAGATCTGTGCTCAGTGGGACAACTGAATGAGTGGTGAGAAGCAGAGGCAGAGAAGAAACCCAAATGCCAGTCTATTCCGGAGATTGTGGAACTGCTTCTGTTTCCCTCTTCAAAAGCCACTCCAAATGCATAGGGCCTTTCCAGATGGCTGTCCCATGGCTGGGTCAGTTCAGCTTTTCTTAGTCCCCGGCTGAGTCTTCTTGCTGCAGGTATAGAAAGTGTCCGGTCTGCTTAGGTGGAATCTCAGGGAGTGTCAGACTCCTACCTCTCTTCCCCTAAAAGTTTGGTCTGGATATTCCTGCTGAAGGTAGCTAGGGATGCTCAACCAGGGTGGCTCCCCTAGAACAGCACTGCCTGACCTAACACACCTGGGGCTCCTGACTTCTCAGCTACTGGAGCTGCCAGTCTCAGATTACCAATGGGGAGGGATCTCAGGACCTAGGGCCCTACGTGCACTGCAAGCCCTGAGCTCTTTGCTGTGCAGAGACAGTGGCAGAGTAGGTGCTTTGTGACCAGACCCTTCCCATTCACAGAGAGAACTGGAAGACCGCACTGCCTGGCTGGGAATTTACAGAGGCTTAGGAAAAAGATGAACTGGCCCCACTTCTGCATCTCCTGTTGCTGGATTTACTTTGCTGCCTCCAGACTGAGAGGTAAGAGGCTGGTGGGCGTGTAACCATTGTCACTCATCTGGGGCCACTTCTTTGGGTTTTAGGGTGGGCCAGGAAAAAGAACAAATGTTCTAATGCAAGGAAGTACTTCGTCTTCTTACTGACTCATACTAATCCTGTAGGGTGTGCCAGAAAAATAACTCCCATCGACCTAGAGCTTGTCCCCAGCTGATGCTAGATTATCCCCAACGCTAGTCCTTGGACTGTTGTTCTTTGCCTTAAAATATACATGACACTGAAGGTTGATCAGGTCCCTCTTTTGAGCAGCTGGAGAAACAGCAGATGGAAAATATGCTCACAAGTTGTTTAATGACATTTTTGAAGATTATTCCAATGCTCTTCGTCCAGTAGAGGATACAGATAAAGTTCTGAATGTCACGCTCCAGATTACACTTTCTCAGATTAAGGATATGGTGAGTAACATAGTGGTAACTCTGAAATGTTTAGAATGAAACTAGCAGTGCTTTCCGAAGGGAATGTCTGAACTGGGAATTTGAGAGAACGTGAGAACACAGAGCTCTGTGTGCAAGCTGATGGGAGAAGGGAACTCCAGGGGAAGAAAGCTTTCTACAAAATTAATTTCACTAAATTATGTAATCCTGGCCATTAACACTAACAGTCTTATATCATCTGAAGAAAGTTGGTTACACATTACATGTTCCATCTCTATGAAATGTGCAAAATCAGCAAAACCATAGAGACAGAAAGCAGAGTAGGGGCTGTGGGAATAATGGGGGAATAGTGATAGACTGCTTGACGGTCATAGGCTTCCTCTTTTGGGGTGACAAAACGTTCTGGAAGTAGAGAATGGTGGTGGTTCCACAACATTGTGAATAAACTGAAAGTCGCTGAGCTGCACACTTTAAAATGGTTAAAGTGGTGAGTTTCATGTAATGTGAATTTTATCCCCAGTTTTTAAAAGGTGGGGTTTTTTAAATTAATTAATTAATTGATTTTTGGCTGCATTGGGTCTTCGTTGCTGAGCGTGGGTTTTCTCTAGTTGCCGCAAGCGGGGGCTACTCTTCGTTGTGGTGTGCAGGCTTCTCACTGCGGTGGCTTCTCTTGTTGCGGAGCACGGGCTCTAGGCGCGCAGGCTTCAGTAGTTGTGGCTCGTGGGCTCTAGAGCGTGGGCTCAGTAGTTGTGGCACACGGGCTTAGTTGCTCCACGGCATGTGGGATCTTCCCGGACCAGCGCTCGAACCTGTGTCCCCTGCATTGGCAGGCGGATTCTTAACCACTGCATCAACAGGGAAGCCCAAAAGCTGATGTTTTAAGATGACTTACCTTATATAATGCTTATATGTGTTTAATTACACGAAGTTATGAAACTTGAAAGACTTTTCTTTGGTACATTATCGATGTTTGCCGACTTTTTCATTCAAAAGAATCATCGGTTGATCTATTTTCAGAGAAATTTGGGCAGTTGATCCATGCAGAGATCTGATGATTTAAATATTTGTCCACCTAACATTCCTAACACTAAATCACAGAAAAAAACATTTCCCTGGCAGTCAATCAAGGGGATAGACTGGAAAAATTCTCACTTTCTTATTGGAAATAGACTAGTGCTCTTGGAATTCCTGTTTTGAAGATGAGTGTTCTAGAGACAGGTGCGTTCGGTTGAGGTGTTGATGGGATAAAGTTGTATCTGGGTTAATTGTGCAGGATGAAAGAAATCAAATTCTGACTGCCTATTTGTGGATCCGCCAAATCTGGCACGATGCGTATCTCACATGGGATCGAGACCAGTATGATGGACTGGACTCCATCAGGATCCCCAGCGACCTGGTGTGGAGGCCGGATATTGTCCTGTATAACAAGTAAGTGCAAGTCAGTAGTTTCTCGGGAATGAATTTATTGATGTAACAGAATGTAAACATAATGGAAAAGGAATGTTTAAAACATGCATGAGGTTAAGTCTATTCATGTTCCTAGTCCCTGAAGTGAAGGTCATAAAACCTCAGATAATAAAACAATAGGTCATAAAATCTTAGAGTTACAGCCCCCTTTTCAGATGAGAAACTGTATTAGAAGCCGTGTTAGTTTTCTAGGGCTACTGTAACAAAGTACCACATACTGGGTGGCTTAAATGACAGAAACTTATTGTCTCACAGTTCTGGACGCTAGAAGTGCAAGATAAAGGTACTGGGGCTTCCCTGGTGGCTCAGTGGTTGAGAGTCCGCCTGCCGATGCAGGGGACACGGGTTCATGCCCCGGTCGGGGAAGATCCCACATGCCGCGGAGAAGCTAGGCTTGTGAGCCATGGCCGCTGAGCCTGCGCGTCCGGAGCCTGTGCTCTGCAACGGGTGAGGCCACAACAGTGAGAGGCCCGCGTACCGCAAAACAAACAAACAAACAAACAAACAAAAAAAGATAAAGGTACTGGTAAGGTTGGTTCTTTCTGAGGCCTGTGAGGAACACTCTGTTCCCTGTCTCTCCCCTAGTTTCTCAGGTGGTTGCTGGCAATCTTCAGTTTCTTGACTTGTAGAAGCATCACCACAATCTCTGCTTTCTTCTTCACATGGTGTTCTCCCTGTGTGTTGTCTGTGTCCATATTTTCCCTTGTATAAGGACACCAGTCTTGTTGAATTAGGTGTTTACACCACACCAGTATGACCTCTTCTAGACTAATTACATCTACAATGACGCTGTTCCAAATTAGGTCACATTCTGAAGTGCCAGGGGCTAGGATTTCAACATACGAAGTCTTCACAGATGCAATTCAACCCTTAACAGTGGTGCTCCCTTGTCTAAGATCATGTATCAAAAATACATGATACGATTAAGATTAAATCAGAATGGGCCTGCTAGAAGCTGGCCTATGGAATTTGGACCTTGTATGGAGTGGAAGATGAACTAGATCATAAGATCACCAGTTGGCCTTTTCCTGGTCCGAGAGCAAGGGGCCTTGGTGAGTGGGTAGGTAAGGTTTAAGTTTCTCAAATTTTAAAGTGTGCACGAATCATCTGAGGAGCTTTTGCTCAAATAGATTCTGATTCAGTAGGTCTGGGGTAGAGTCTGACGTTCTGCATTTCTATAAGCTCCAGACCGTAGTGCTGCTGTTCCACGGATCATACTTTGAGAAGGAACCAGATAGCTGTCTCAATTCAGGTTCAGATGCTCCACCTGTTGTCAAAGGGGCTCCTCTCTCTTTTTATTCTGGAACTCAAGTTTCTCAGGGCTGGGAAAGGTTCCTCTGAGCAGAGCCATATGTATGAGGAGCAGCTCAGGGGGACTCTCCGGAGAGCTCAGCCTTCTACTGGACGTGAGTTTCCCTTCAAGAAGCAACTGGTAGGTTGCAGCCTGGATTTTAGTCTCAGTCCTTACTCAGGGAGCTTGTCTGAGGGTCATGACCTCATGAATCATAGTCCTGATGCTGCTGTCCATTCCCCACTCTGGAATGGCAACTCTTCCATACCCCTTCCCGAGCAAGATCATATCCAAGTGCTAGTGCTTTAGTACTCTGGTTCACACTCCCCTCAGCACACACACACACACACACACACATACACACACACATACACATACATAGCAGGCAAGAGAATGAGCCAGGATGTCCATTACCTCTTCCCACACACGGGGTGCAGGAGAGTAATCAGAGGATATACTTTACATAGAACACTTACAGCATTCTATAAGTTCAAAATTCTCCCTGGAGGAAAACAGAAGGCTGGTTCTCCTTTTCCTCCTGCTTTGATTGACTGAAGCAGTGCCCAGCTCTTACTGAAACACTTCTTTCCGAGCTGGCATGACCTAAGTTAAGCCTACCCCAGTCCCCCTTTATCAGAGAAGCCAGTTATGCACTCACGAGCTCACACAAGCCTGCTGTGGCTTTGGTAAATTTTGTCCCCGTTCTCCGTCCTTTCCCCCCGAGATCGCTGGCTTTGAGAAGTGTGAGTTCTGATCCCCTTTTCTTTCACACACAGACCCTTTTCACCACACTGATTCATCAACTCTTCTTTTCCTCTGGATTGACTCTTTAGTCTTCTTTCCCCTCCTATCATGGACAGTTCTGTTTTGGATCCTCTATTTTCCTGTGTGTTCTCCTTCTCAGTAACATCAGAGTTTTACTATTCAGAGGAAACCCTAAATGGACTTATGGTTGGATGTCATTTGCATTCCTTTAAACAACTGAAATGAGAATAGAAGAGAGTTAGAGGATCAGGCAAAGGAGAGACCCCAGTCCTTTGGGGTCCCGAGGAAGGACCCTGACCCTGGTCCTTCTACCTGAATCCCTGGACCTGCAGAATCTTCTGCTCCCTGATATAATATAAGTACTTCTCAGAAACTGGTACAGAAACTTGTAGACCAAAAAATGGGCTTCCTGAGTGGTGGTAGGGAGAATAAAGAGGGGTATAAGGCAGGTGATCCAGTCATGTGTGATAAAGATAGTTTGGGCAGGAAGATGCTTAACATCTAGATTCACCATTGGTGCCTGAATCCATGGGTTAGACTTGCTGAGGAGTGATGAGGATGGTCCTGGGCCTGGAAGCTATTTCATATGAGGAGCAGTCGAATTTATTGATGCTTAGTTTGGAAGAGAGAGGTCCTTAGGAAGACTTGATGGCTGTCATAGGCAATCATAGGAAAAATAAGGTAGAGAAAAAAGAGAAAATTCCTCCAGAGGACAAAACCCAAGACAATGAGTAGAAGTTAAAGGGTTTTTTAATCGCATTTTAATGCAATTTAAAAAAACTAATAATTTGAAGAATGAATTTTCCCAAGAGGTAGTGAGCTCTTTAACAATATAATGACTCAAGCAGGTATTGGCTGTTGCCAAGTCAGTAAAGCAATAAAGTTCTGGTGGGGTTGCTTAGTATAGGTATATGGTCAATATAATGGCTAGCATAAGAGGGTGCAAGGATTCCTGACATTTTTAGGTTAGGTAAAGAGTGGATTACAGAAATTTCAGGAGTGTGTTTATTATGAGAGAGTTTTAATGGTTGGATTTTAATGGACCGGTTTAATACTTGGATTTTAGACCTAGTAAGAAATTGGGTACCCTGTTGTACTCAGAAAGAGTGGTCTACAATTTAGCTTTAAGTTCTGCTAAAGTAGCTTAGAGAATTGAAAGGATGGAAAAACTGTAAGATGAGATTGGATATACATATGTCAAATTTTATGATTGTATACTTTAAATGTATGCAATTTATTGTATGCCAATCATACATCAATAAAGCTCCTTAAAAAGAAAAAAAAGATGACATTGGAAATAAAGGAGGCAGAAGAGGAACAGGTTTGGAGAAAAAGATGATGAGTTTGGTGTGAGACCTGTTCAGTTTGGGAGACCAAAGGAACAGAGGAGACAACCAACAAAGAGATTGCAAAGGCAAGTTTTCAGCCTGGAAAGAAGGTCACGGCTAGAGCTATCAAAAGCCCTTTTAGCCCTTATAGAACTGCTCAAGGAGGGAAAGAAAATGGCTGAGGATAAAGTTGGAGAATTTCTTCACTGAAGAAATTTACAGAGAACATTCAGAAGAAATGGTTAAAGGGGTAGAAGGAGAACTGAGAGAATTGCCTCATAGAAACCAAGGGAAGAAAGGATGTCTAGGAACAACTCAGAAAGTGAAGTGCTTGGGAAGGGTTGACAGACTCTTAGAAGAGTCTTTAGATTTGCCCATTTGCAAGTCATGAGTGACCTTTGAAAGAGCACACTTTGAAAGTTGGGAAGAAGCCAAATTGCAAGAATACAAGCAAGATGGGGAAGTGAAGGCAGCAGGCATCAATTACTCTCGAGAGCGGTGTGCAGAGAGGAGAGAGGTGGGAGGGGCCTGGGAGGAAGGGAAGTTGGTAGGGAGACTTGGGAACAGAGTTGGGAGGGGATTAGAGGAGCCAGAGAGAATAAGAGAGACCAAGAGAGGCGAAATCCTGAAAGAGACTTGGAAGGAAAGAAGTCACAGTACAAGAAAAGAAGTTAGCCTTGAAAAGAAAGAGAGGGACCCCTTTTTTTTTTTAATTTATTTATTTTTGTTTGCGTTGGGTCTTCATTGTGGTGCGTGGGCTTTTCATTGTGGTGGCTTCTCTTGTTGCAGAGCACGGGCTCTAGGCGCACGGGCTCCAGTAGTTGTGGCGTGCAGGCTCTAGAGAGCAGGCTCAGTAGTTGTGGCACACGGGCTTAATTGCTCCGTGGCATGTGGGATCTTCCTGGACCAGGGCTCGAACCCGTGTCCCCTACATTGGCAGGGGGATTCTTAACCACTGCGCCACCAGGGAAGCCCGAGAGGGACTTCTTTTTGACGTGGAAGGGAAGATAAGGGGGACACACGAAAGACGGAGAGATTGGAGATAGGAAAAAGGGTGGATTGTGGGACTGAGTAAAGAAACAAGCCTATGTCGAGGTTCCAGGCACTGTCTGGTACCAGAAAAACTGGCTGATTCTCACTGTTCTCTCCTTCACCAGCCCACACTTCTCCAGTTCTGGAGATCTTGCTTCTTACAGCCCTTGCTGGGAAAGGTCTTTCTGCTCAAGTGCGAAGCTGAAGTCAGCTCAGTCTTTGATCAGGGGAGAAGGGACTGCGTGAAGGGCACTAAGTGTTGGAGGAAAGGGAAGGTAAGAGGAAAACAATTTAAATAATCTCTTAGGGTCATATTATTGAACGCTGCCCTCTCGACCTCCATTTTGAAATTTTGTCCCTGTAATTTTTTTCATTTTCTAGTTGGGAAAATAGAACATAGTTAGAAACAGAGGGAAGGGAAAGAGAAGAAACTCATATGTATTGGACACTTACTGTGTGTCAGGCAGTGAATTGGGGCTCTACATAGCGTGGTAGACAAAATAATTGCCCCCAGAGTGTCCCCATCTCAATCCCTGTAGTCTGTGAATATGTCACCTTACGTGGCAAAAGGGACTTTGCAGGTGTGATTAAATTAAGGATTTGAGAGGAGATTACCGTGCTGGGGCCATTGGAAACAACCTTACAAGTCCTTATAAGAGAGAGAGGTGGGAGAGTCAGATGCCACAAAGGAAGCAGATATCAGAGTGATAGAAGGAAGGAGCCCTAAACCAAAGAATGCAGGCAGCCTCTAGAAGCTGGAAAAGGCAAGGAAATGGACTCTCCTTTAGAGCCTCTGGAAAGAACACAGCCCTGCCTAAACCTTGATTTTCGGATTTTTGACCTCTAAAACTGTAGAGATGCTAAATTTGTATTATTTTAAGACACTTGGTTTGTGGTAATTTTTTACAGCAGCAATAAGAAATTAATAGATTAATTATTTACTTAATATAACATTTAAAAAGAAACCTTAAGGTATTATAGCCTCTACTTTTACAGGTGGGTGACAGAAATGTTACTTGCTCAAGGTTACAGAAACTGACCAAGATTTTAACCCAAATCTCTCTGTGATATTTCTGTGATGTCATTGCTACTTTCTAAAGGAGAATGAGCCATATTGATTCAATCAACCCACTTACCTACCCACTTACCTTTCTTTGTTAAATCCTTCTTCTGTGCAAGGCATTCACTCATGTGTTGAGGGGTTAGGATTTTAAGACTCAGTCTCTGACCTCAATGAACAGTCCAATAAGAAATGTATGTAAAATGTAAGCCCCTCATAACACAGAAATAAAGTACCAGAGCTCTTCAAAGGTGAAGGGATTTCATCAGACTGGAGGGGCAGGCGGGGCTTCTCAGAGGGGTAGGCATCTGAGCTGTCTTGAAGGATGTATTAGATTTATATTTGCAGAAAGTGGGGCGGGTATTATAGGGAGAAGAAAGAGTTTGAGTAAAGGAGAGACAATCACAGGATCTGTTAGGGTTTCAGCCTTGATTGGTGGTGTGCGAGTGAAGGAGACCAGTGGAAGACATCAGAGGCCAGTGGGAGGCTACAGAGTGGGATGGGAGTAGATCATGGAACGTCTAGGACACTGAACTTAGGAGGTTTGGAAGTATTTGGTCGGCAATAGGAAACCAGTGCAAGTGCTGAGCTGTAAAAAGATGTGATCAGAGAAACCAGGGAGATAAAACAAGATATTGGTCATGAAGTAATTAAATAGTAATGTCTTTAAACTCCTCCTGAGTAGTTGGGGTGATGTTTTCAGACAGTGGGTTCCTTTGCCCTCTGGCTTCTGGTTGGGTTGGGTCAATGAGAAGCACCAGTGAGCAATTGGAGGGAGAAAAGGGAGTGAGGTTAGGGCATGTATTCCCTTGCTCTCTTCCTATAGAGTTATTATCTTTGGCTTGCTGTGTCCCTTGACAGAAAGGTATAGCTCCTATCATGGTGACCCTCTTAAGCAAGTCTTTCCTTCCAGGTCTTGGTAACTGCACCTTCCCTTCACCTCTTCGGGCCCAGGAATGGTAATAGCTCTGCTGTTACTAGCCCTGGAGTGGTTGCCCTACACCTTATCCATACCTTTGTAAATAGTCCCTGCATTAAACACTCCTCAAATTATCTAATTTGAGTGGGCCATCCACTTTCTGCAGGGACCATGACTAATACAATTATTCTAGCTCCAGATAGATTCTCTCTGACCCCGAGATCTCTTACAACAAGGAAGGTAGGATGGGTGAGTTCCCATCCTCCAGTTCTCACTTCTCGTATAGCTAACTATATATATTTCTCATTGTTACAGAGGGTAGGTTCAGGCATTTTCAAAATATTCATTTTGTTCTCTTCACAAGACCACGTTAAAGATCCCCTCTCTAGACCTCCATTAAAAATCGAGTGCCACAATTCAGCTGTAATGCTCTGATTAGAGTGGACCCAATCAGACCATTACAGTTAACATTGTGGTACCTAAATTTTAATAAGTAGGAAAAAAACTTTTAAAACATGCCAGTTCTTTGATCTAACACACCCTCTTCTAGCAATTTAACCTAAGGAAAGAGTCAGTGGATAAACGCAACAATTTGACTACAGAGATGTTCACTGCGGCATTGCTTGTAAATGTAAAAACTGGAAACAACCATAATGTTGAAAATAGGTGAATTGGTTAAATAACTATGGCACATCTCTATAATGGAATGTAATTGAATACCATTTAGCCACAAAAATAAAGTTGCAAAAGAATATGAACAGATGATCATATATGTTTTTAAATTGTCTCAATGTTATTTTGTAAATTAACTTTTTTATTTTGAGATAATTTTACAGAAAAGTTGCAAAGATGGTACAGAGTTCTTGTTTATTCTTCACCCAGTTTCCCTTAATGTTACATCTATGTAACCATAGTACATTTGTGAAGACTAATACAATACTATTAACTAAACTACAGACTATTTGGACTTCACCAGTTTTTCCACTAATGTACTTTTTCTGTAAGAATCTAATTCAGCAAACCACATTACATTTAGCCATAATATATTTTGTAGGGAAAAAATCATAAGGAACACTTAGAAAAATGTGCATTAAAATATTAACAGAAACATATCAGTTAAGGCTGTAAGCATTAGAAACTGACTTTGTCTACCTTGTGACAAAGGGAATCTGTTGGAAGGATATCGAACAGCTCACTGAATTAAAGGGAAAAAAATCAATGACCAGGCCTTGGAAAGGACAAACCAGGACTACTCTACAGTTTAAGACAGTGGAGAATATTGAGATTTTTAAAAAAATAATAATAATAATTAATTGACTTTTATAGGGAGCCATCACCAGTGTGAGTCTTTTTTGGTCTTTGGGTCACTCTGCTTAAGATCTAAACTGCAGGGAGAGTGAATCACTTGGACCTAGCTCGGGTCACACAGCCAGCCCCTGGCCCAAGGGTGGCTGAGGAAACTTGATCATTGTTTCATCTGCCTTACAATGGTCATGGAGAAAGAGTCATTCCCCAAAGTGAAACAGAAATTCTGTACCCCCAAGATGTAAGGCATAAATGTTGATAAAGCAAAAAGAAGTTATATCTAGAATAAATTATTATCTCTTAGATTATGGGTGAATAATTTTTTCTCTGTGTTTTTCAAATGTTCTACTGTAAACATGTACAACTCTTTCAACAGCAACAAAAAGTTACTTTAATATTCTTGTGCCCACAGTTAACAAAATCAGGTAAACAGAGCCCCCTGTTAGATTTTAGCCTCGTTTACTTTTTTTCTGGGTGTTTGAATAATTATACCTGGACCAAGAGAGTGGCACTGGGAATGGAGAGGAAGGGACATAAAGCAGGGATGCTTTAAAGAAAGAATCCAAGAGAACTCGGCCCTAACTATTCACAGGAAATGGAGAAGAGGGCAAATTAGAGTTGACTCCAGACTTTCAAGCCAGGGTGACAGGAATGGTGAGCCACTGCCAAGACACTGAAGTGATGGGCACAGGGCGCTGAGCTATCGGGGGTAAGGAGCTTGGTGAGTTGTCCTGGCGAGCAGCTCTCATTTTCCTCCTCTGACCTCCAGGGCTGATGATGAATCTTCTGAGCCTGTCAACACCAACGTGGTCCTGCGGTATGATGGGCTGATCACCTGGGATGCACCAGCCATCACCAAAAGCTCCTGTGTGGTGGACGTCACCTACTTCCCCTTTGATAACCAGCAGTGCAACCTGACCTTTGGTTCCTGGACTTACAATGGCAATCAGGTGGATATATTCAACGCCCTGGACAGCGGAGACCTCTCCGACTTCATCGAAGATGTAGAGTGGGAGGTGCATGGCATGCCTGCTGTGAAGAATGTGATCTCCTATGGCTGCTGCTCTGAGCCTTACCCGGATGTGACATTCACTCTCCTTCTAAAGAGGCGGTCCTCTTTCTATATCGTCAACCTCCTCATCCCATGTGTCCTCATATCTTTTCTGGCTCCCTTGAGTTTTTATCTCCCAGCAGCCTCTGGGGAAAAGGTCTCCCTGGGAGTGACCATACTGTTGGCCATGACTGTATTTCAGCTCATGGTGGCAGAGATCATGCCAGCCTCAGAAAATGTCCCTCTGATAGGTGAGTTCAAGTGTCTTACACTTTGAGTCAGCACTGTGGTAACTGGGGTTGTATCTGTATCTTTAAACTCCTAACAATGAGGTCAACTTCAGACTCAACACAGGCTGTCACATACTTCATTTGGTGTCTTCAGTTGGCATCTTTGAAAAGAGATGTGGCTGTTGGAAACAAAGCTGGTCTTGTTGTCTCCAGGTTTACCCAAAAGAGGAATGAGAGCGATATGGTTTAGAGCAGTGGTTCCCACAGTATGGTCTCTGGACCCACAGCATAAGCATCATTTTAGAAATGCAAATTCTCAGGGCCCACCCTAGATCTACTTAATTAGAAACTCTGGCCGTAAAGCCTGGCAAACTGTTTTTAAAACCTTTCTAGGTGATTTCGATGAGCTTTTTGTTCAAGTCTAATAACCACTGGCTTATAGATTAAGACCCTGATTTTGAAGTCAAAGAAATCTGCGTTTGAACTCTGACTTCACCACTCATTCTTTGATCAGCCTGAAGAGAGTTACTTAATTTTTGAGTCTCTACTTCATCAGCAGGAAAATTTGTGTAATTGCTACCTCATTGTGCCACTGCTTAACACGGAGCCTGGCATATGGTGAGGACTGAGAGAAAAGTGACTATTATTATCACGTTACAAGGGATTTCTTCTTGGGAAGAGTGATAAATGTGTTGGAAATGATGAGCTGGATTTTTAAGCCTGCCGTCTACCCTTGATAGAATAATTCTCAACCTTTACTGGGTATAGTAGGTGTGGGAGAGCTTGTTAAAAATGCAGGTTCCTACACCCAAAGAGGTTGTTTTTCTTTTTAAGCAATCTTGGGCAAGATTTGGGAATCTGAGGTGATTCTCAAGTAGAACACACTTTCAAAATTTTGCAATAATGAAATGTCCCTCTAAGAGAAGGAGTGAAGACTGTGGCTGCCATCCCTGCTTCCCCTTTCCTTTACCTCCCTTGTTCTGAGATCCTTCCTAACACCTTTAATACCTACTTCCTGCCACCAAGGATAACACCCAGATCAATACGTCTATCTCAATGACTTGCTGTTGTAATAGATGCTTATGAGAATCAGAAGCTAGACCTAATTTTTAGTTCTTTAATGTAATCAATGAGGAGAAATTTCAGAACACCAGGAGACTTAGAAAGCAATATAAAAGGGGTATTGTACTGCCCTTTTACTCTCTCCTGTATCCAGTATTACCCAGTATTTAGACGTTACTACATTGGTTTCTCTGTTTGGAGATCTCTTCCTTGTTACGTCTCTCCCAGCAACACCTCCCCACCCCACTCCCACACACACACTCATGTACACCTTTTTGAGAAATAGACACAGAAGGTTCTCACCACCACTAATAAAGAGGAAGACGTTTATTGGTACTTTTATCACCTCTCCTGAGGCAGAAATGATTGACAGTGACAACATCTAATAATAACCCTGTTTGAGGCAAGATCAATTGACAGACCCCTCTCTCTTCTTTAGCAGTAAGATTCAAAAGCAAGCTGGATCAATTTCTGAAGAAAGATGTCTCAGAACATGTCTCAAGAATTTTACAAGCATTACTTTTTCTGTTTCTGTGATAATATGAAATGTATCTTTTTTGGAAGGGTGTACACAGATCTTGAGAACTTTATTAATTGTCACAATTTGTTATTTGTAGCACCTATGAAATAGAGTTACAATCCCATAGAAGTGTGTTGAAGTTTCCTGCATCAAGTGTAGCATTTGATCCAGGCTTTTGGCCCAGGCTTTTGGCCCACAGCCTTGACAATGTTAAGAAAGATTCCATTGATGTTTAGTTTACTCAAAGCTTTTAACAAACAATAAACAGATGATAATCATTATCAAATGCATTGTCTTCATCTGTTAAGATGATCGTGTGAGCTTTTTTCTTTTCCCCCATTAAGTTAGTGAATTATATTACAGTTTTCTGATGTTGAACTAAACTCTTCTTTATCATGATGAATTATCAATTAAAGACACTGTAGTATTTAGTTAGCCAATGATTTTTATAGGACTTTCTCAAATGTGTCTATGAATGAAATGACCTTAATATTTCCTTTCTTGCTACTTTTGGAACCAGGCCTGCATTTACTTCATAAAATGAGATTTTCTAGGCAGTTTTCCCTCTTTTCTATTTTTGGAACAACTTGCATAAGATATGAGTTATCTGTTCCTTAAAAATACGGTGAAACTCACCTGTAAAACCTTTTTGGCTCTAGAGCTTTTTGGAAGGTGGTGGGTAGAGGTATTTGGTTAATTCCTATTTCTATTTAAGTGTTCTTTCTTCTTACACTAAATTTGACATCTTATATATTCGCAGAAATTTCATCTAGGTTTTCAAATGTATTATCATACAGCTATTTGTAATATTATTTTATTGTTTTCTAAATTTCTATTCTCTTATTTTTTTCTTTTGCATCCCTTTTTCTTTCTTTCTCCCACCTCTATTCCGTGAGTGGCCTCATCAAAGGTTTATCAATTTTATTACACTTTTCAAAAAGCTTGCTTTTGGTTTTGTTCATCTTCTAGGTTCTTTGTTCTACATTTCAGAAATTTGTACCCTCATCTTTATTGTTTCCTTCCTTAATTTTCCTTTTTCATGAATATTTGCTTTACGCAATCACATGTTAAAGACTGAGAGTGACGCAGTGTCTCCTTTCTTCCCCAATGGTAATGAGCTTTCATATTAACAAGGTCCAAAGACAATTCTGAGAACTGACCAAGATCATTCATTGTTTACTTATTTGTTCGTTGAAAGTGGAAGTTTTTCACAACATGACCTCAGCAAAAATTTACAAACCTTTTAACTCAGGGCAAACTGAAAACTTTTCCTGTATTTTCTCAGTTAAGCCTTGTCATAGTCCTATGAGTTAGATACTAATATTATAGTCATTTTATTAAGAAGGAAGCTGAGGCTTACCAGAATTATATAACTTGCTCTAGGTCACAAGTCTAGTGATGACAGAGCTGGGATTTGAACCCACTTTTATTCAAAAGTCTATAATAGTAACCATCAGTGTATACAGCTTCCTTAGAAAAGGTGTTTGTTTCTTTTTGAGCCAAACACAAGGACAGTTTTAAGCTAACTTGGCTGTTGTTATTTTCCAGGCAAATACTACATAGCCACAATGGCCTTGATCACAGCCTCCACTGCCTTGACCATCATGGTGATGAATATCCACTTCTGCGGGGCTGAGGCCCAGCCAGTGCCACACTGGGCCAGGGTAGTCATCCTGAAATACATGTCTAGGATCTTGTTTGTCTACGACGTGGGTGAGAGCTGCCTTAGACCCCGCCAAGACAGGGAGGAGGACCACCTCACGAAGGTATATGGCAACCTTCCAGAGGCTAATCTGAAGACGACCAGAAATAAAGACCTTCCCAGAAAGAAGGAAATGAACAAACTCTTAAAAAATGACTTGAGGTACCAGGGTGAAAACCCGCAGGACGTTGACAGTTACTGTGCACGGTACAAAGTGCTGACGAGGAATATCGAATACATTGCCAAATGCCTCAAAGACCATAAGGCCACCAATTCCAAGGGCAGCGAATGGAAAAAGGTTGCAAAAGTCATAGACCGATTCTTCATGTGGATTTTTTTTATTATGGTGTTTGTGATGACTCTTTTGATCATAGCAAGAGCAGATTCGTGAGCATTTGGTATGTGGGGATAAATCAATAAACTTCCCCTGTGATCGACTCTAATCTTCTTCCAAATTAGAAATACCTATATCTATATATACAGAGATATATATAAATTAGGATTTATGTTGTCTTTACATTTTGTTTTCAACTTCAGATCAATATTATAGCTATCTGTCAGGTTAAATCAAGCAGGAGGTCCAAAATTTCAAGGGCAGGAAAACGGAGGAAATACAGAAGGACCCCTTTTATAACCTACCAGAGTGGTAGGTGTCTGGCTTCTAGATCACACAGTTATTCTCTCCTTTAGCAGTACAGATAAAAAAAGCACACTACATTCCATTTAAAATTCAAAGCAAAACAAAAGAAACGCATTTTCCCCTTAGTCCCTATTAGAACATGCTTTTTAAAAAAGGAAAATAGTGATATATTCCTTAGTGTAATTTAAGTCTCACTGTTACCTTTCTCAGGCCTGGTGCATTTCAAGCCATATCTCAAATGATGGAATAAAAAATTTTGTCTCATATAAAGAAGGTCTAAGGATCAGTGACTTAATGGGGGAGAGAGTTTTCTTTGTAATGATGATATCATATATGTTGGTTATATTTTATATAAACCTTAAAGATGAAGTCATGCCTGCATTTAGTCTTGGATTTAAATAAGATCATCAGCAAACTGGGCTTATTTATTCATTCATTCAATTATTCACCAAACATGTATTTTCTCCTACATATAATAAAGCTGCATGATTCACATCTGTAATGGGTGTCATAGCAAATCTTATGTGTAAGTCTGACCCTTTTTGATCTTCACTACAATTCTGTGAGCTTGTGGGCAGGTATTTCTAGTTATCCTTCTCAGAGGAAGAAGCTGGGTCAGAGGAAGGTGGGTGTAAGTGACCTACCTCCACATCCAACTAAGCGGCGTACAGAGCTGGGAAATAAACCCTTAGCACTGTGAGTTCAGGCCAGGTGTGCTAAAACCACACAGCTTTTGGCCATGATAGATCATGATTTAGGGTAGTTGTGACTGAGGGATTCTCATTCTGAATTCTGAATTTCTGCCCTAAATTTCTTCCTGTACTTCTCCACTTTTTTCCTACTTTCAGTCAAATGTCTTCAAATTCCCTTACTCCCATCTTGATTAAAATGATCTGAGTACTACTACCCATTCCCTAACTTCCAACTCCTCAACTATTCTTTTACCAATTAAAACAAATAAACAAATGAACAGAAGTGGAGAGAGGACAAGCGTTAACCTAGAAAAGAGAGGATGATATTTGGTTTAAACATATAGACATTATTTTCTACTCTTTTGTCTACTTATTCATAAAATATTTATTGTGTACCTACTATATACTGAGTGCTAAGTCAGCCTTGAAGGAAACAAATATAAAACATGGTTTCAACCCTCTGGTTTCTCATATGGTACTTGTAGTTCAGTAGAGGAGACAGTCAAGAAAATAGAAGAATGTAGCGTAAAAGTGCTATCATAGAAGCATGGACAAAATGCCACAGGAACAATGATGATTAATCTGTTTGAGGGAAAGCTTGGGAAAGACTTTGTACAGGTGTAACATTTGAGCTGGGCTTTGAAGGATGAGTAGGTGTTTGCTAGACAGAGAAAGAAGTGAGTGTTTAAAGGGATTAGAAGGAATTGGGGAAATGTAACTTAGAATCAGATGATTTTTTCTTTATTTTAATTATAGAAGTACTTTTATAAATTAGAGTTGCATTTGGCAGCAAATAATAGAAAACCCAATGGACCATGACTTAAGGTTATTCATCTACACAAAAATAAACCCAGAGTTACAAAGTCCAGGGATCTTCCCATCTTTCCTTTGTGTTGTTTTAAGGCACTAAATTCTAAGTTTGCAGTAGTTTGTTACAGTAGCAATAGAAAACTTATATAGTATACAATGAGTGATTTTACATATATAACTTTTTCCATATTTTAGATTATCTGTCTGAGTTAGATTTGTCTATAGCCAGAGAGAGGCAGTCCTATTGAGCCATGTCAAAAATTTGGAATTTTATCCTAAAAATATTTGGTAACACAAAAGGGTTTCAAGCAAGGGAGCGATAGATTCAGATTTGTTTCAGAAATAACACTGTGATGGCAGTTAGAAGATTGTAGAGAAAAAAGAGAAGAGGCAGAGTGATCTATTGGAATTTTTTTTTTTTTTTTACCAATTCAGGGAAGTGATAATGAAGGCTTGACCCAAGACGGTGGGAATAAGAAAATGGATCACGTAGTATTTATGACCTAGACTAGACAGGACTTGGTGACCAGATGGATGTAGGGTTAGGAAGAGGGTGGCATTGAGAATGATTCTGAACTTTCCATCTCAGACAGCTGAGGCAAAGAGTAAAGGAGGACCAGGTTTTGGCGTAAAGAATTTGAGACATCTGAGTTGGAAATGCTTATGGGACATCCTGGTAGAGAAATATAGGAAGTAACTGAACACGTATTTGGAACTTTGGAGAAAAGTGAAAGTTTAAAAAATTTACACTCAGGTTAATTGTTAAAGTATTTATTAAATGATTCCAGCGGGTAAGACATATGTTACAAACAGTGCAAGACTCAAATGAACAGGAAGGCATTCTTTGCCAGAATTCCATTAGTTTATAATCATCCTGCATCACTAAAGCAGTTACCTTGTTATGCTGTCATTTTTCCATTCACAAGTCTGCTTCCCCAAACATACTGAGGTCCTCTCTAGTCCTAAGGCCCAGTAGCTCGGTCATTATTCTCTTTTTATCCTTTGCAATAAGGATATTCTCTTTTATTTTCTGTGTGCAATAAAGGGCGTAGTACAAGGTCATTAGCGATTAAATGCTTATTGAAAGAATGAGTGAGTGAAAGGAAGTGCTTAAGAGGGTCCAGCAAAGTGCTAAGAAATTTAGACTGTGAAAGAGGCCTCATACTATACAATATACAAAGATAAATTCCAGATGAATTCAAGACTTAGATGTAAAACCAAACACAAACTGGGACTTCCCTGGTGGCACAGTGGTTAAGAATCCACCTGCTAATGCAGGGGACATAGGTTCGAACCCTGGTCGGGGAAGATCCCACATGCCACGGAGGAACTAAGCCCGTGTGCCAAAACTACTGAGCCTGCTCTCTAGAGCCTGCGAGCCACAGCTACTGAGCCCACGTGCCACAACTACTGAAGCCCACGTGCCACAACTACTGAAGCCAACACGCCTAGAGCCCGTGCTCCACAACAGGAGAAGCCACCGCAATGAGAAGCCCGCGCACCGCAACAAAGAGGAGCCCCCACTCGCCATAACTAGAGAAAGCCCGAGAGCAGCAACAAAGACCCAACAGCCAAAAAATAAATTAATTAATTAAAAAAAAAAAAAAAAGGCTTGTAATAAAATCTAGTTGACTTTCTGAATAAAATTCTCCACCTCCATAAATTTTAAGATGTGGCGACTGCTTTGAAAGAGGAGTCCAGGGCTGCCTGACGGGGAGGAACCAAGGAGATGGGTTTGAAGTGGGGTGGTCGGCCTGCTGAGGAAATGGCCTTGAAGATGAGCTCTGAGCATGAGAAGGAGTTAGCCAGGATGAGACTTGGGGAGAGTGACAGGTTGCAGGCAGTGGAAAGGTCAGAATTCAAGCTCAAGGGCAGAACAGAGCTTATTATTATTTGAGAAAGAGAAAGGAGGCCCTCGGGGCAGAGATGGAATCAGCGACCTGCAAAAGACACGAAAGAGGAGACTGGCAAGGTAAGCAAGGCTGGGTCACGCAGAGCCTGGCAAAATTTACAAAACACCAACAACTTTGTTCGTTGTCTGACTGCCTTGGTGCAATGAGGGGTGCCTGGGTTTGCTGAGGTCCCGATCTTTGTTCATCTTCCTTCTTTAGCCTTTGTGTCTACTTTTCTATCAGCTCATTGCTCAGACCAACACTTGCCAGCACAGCCATGGGCAAACCTGTCAAATGGACTGTTCTTGGTCAGACTGGAAACACAGGATCCAGAATGTCTCGAGCAACGCCGGTGAGGCCACTCGTACTGTCATCAACTGCAGAGGCTAGCAAAGAGCTCTCTGCCTATTTCTTCCTTCCTCTCAGATCACACCTTTGAAATAGGCCCTGGCTGTTAAGACTCTATGAGCTTGTCAGTATATCCAAAGCTCTCTAACCCTTAAACAATAAATCCTGTGACAAAACCTCCCTTGTCTTTGCATATATCTATCTTTCTACTCTTCCCAGCCAAGGTTCCCCCCTCATCATTCAGGGTTCCAGCAGAACACAAATGGTGTGCTCGAATTTGGATAACTTGAGGAAGGTTTAATAAAGGACTATTTACAAAGGTGTGAGCAGGATGTAGAGAAACACAAGGGGTGGTAGAAAACCCTAAGACCAGTAAAGCAGAGCTATTACCACTCTGAGGCCTGAGAGGAGGCAGGAGGGAGTGGTTACCTGAACCCAGCTGGAGAAGGCTATGAACTATGGTTGAGTGAATGCAGCAGACCCCGTAGGGACAGAATTGGGGGAATATATATCCCCACCTCACTCTCCTTCTTCCGTTCAATCTCCTCCCAAGGCTCACCATTGGTCAAACTCAACAGAGTCAAGGGAACATATTGATGTTACTGTATATCTGGGACAAAGAGCACAGTGGTGAAGGGTAGAGTGTGGATCTGGACGGACAAAGGGGAGACAGCTGGCACATTCTCTCACTCTTTGACTTCACTCTACATTTAAAAACTGACTTCTTGGGCTTCCCTGGTGGCGCAGTGGTTGAGAGTCCGCTGGCCGATGCAGGGGACACAGGTTCGTGCCCCGGTCCGGGAAGATCCCACGTGCCGCGGAGCAGCTGGGCCTGTGAGCCATGGCCGCTGAGCCTGCGCATCCGGAGCCTGTGCTCCGCAACAGGAGAGGCCACAACAGTGAGAGGCCTGCGTACCACAAAAAAAAAAAAACACAAAAAAAACTGACTTCTTTACACCCCACTCAACTGACACTGCTTTCACCAAGTTCACCATTTGATAATTGCCAAATCCACTGGATACTTTTGAGGTCTCTCTGCTGCCGTCAGCACAACTGACCACTTCCTCCTTCTTTGTATTTATTTATTTATTTATTTTATTTTTGGCTGCATTGGGTCTTCGTTGCTGCAGGCTGGCTTTCTCTAGTTGTGGCAAGCGGGGGCTACTCTTTGTTGTGGTGCATGGGCTTCTCATTGCAGTGGCTTCTCTTGTTGAGGAGCACAGGCTCTAGGCGTACAGGTTTCAGTAGTTGTGACACCTGGGCTCAATAGTTGTAGCTCACAGGCTCTAGAGTGCAGGCTCAGTAGTTGTGGTGCACGGGCTTAGTTGCTCCGCGGCATGTGAGATCTTCCCGGACCAGAGCTCAAACCCGTGTCCCCTGAATTGGCAGGCAGGTTCTTAACCACTGTGCCACCAGGGAAGCCCCACTTCCTCCTTCTTGAAGCTCTTCTTTCTAATCTTCTGTGCTATCACTTTCTGCTTCTTAAATGGCTGGTTCTCAGAACCCCTTGCTGTCTCCAATCCCCCCTCTTCCGGTAAATGTTGGTGTCCCTCACTGTTCCATCCTCAGCTCTCCTCCCCATGGCTTTTACTACCACATATATCCTGGTGATTCTCAAAGTCACTTGTCCAGTCTTGCTCTCCCTTTAGCTCCAAATCCACTATACTCTTCAGGTCAACCAAGTATTGCCACTTGAATGTCTCACAGACTTTCAAACTC